GATCTGATACGTTGTTCCAAAAAGTTGCACGATTTTTGTATTGCATATGGCGTGGTTGTGGTCTGATTGGACAACATAGAGTTAATGGCTGCAACGTTAACACACTGGGGATTGTCAGCTGGCGGTACCTTATCAGACCTTAGTCAATAGAAAGTTCACTTCTGAATAAAATATTGCGACCAGCCTCGATGCAAATCAGCATTATACCGGCTTTCGTTCATGAATTTTACTTACACGCGATATTTCCACGACCAGACCTGGGTAGAATTTTATCCGAATAATAGACGACTGACGCAAACTCTGCACGGTTGTTTCTCGAGCAACGTTCGTTCGTTAAAACTTCGTATGCGTTAGGTATAAAATTGCGTTCAACTTCTAAGGAGCTCGTATATCGATTTGTTAACATTTAATACTTGTCTTGCAATAAGGTGAACAAATAATTGTGTCGTAGATTGGTATGAAACGGGGTGGCTATGAAATTCGATTATTCGCTCTCGCAATTACAGGCACTCAGGAAACGTTTTTAAAGTTGCTCGCGCGAGCGTGTACCACGATTTTAGCGGGAATGAATTTTTGTACGCGGCCACAAAGCCGCCGGGTAGGGTCGATTCGACGAAAGTGCAACGACGAGAGGCGCCAGCTGCTCCGCTCGTCGACGCCACGGTACACGCTCGTTCGTGCCTTTTGAAAATTTCGTCTCGTCATCGTTCCGCATCGCGCGTCTTCCTGCTATCGATCCCACCGCACCGATTTTTCACCGGCGGAAAGAAACGGAAAATAAAAATTCCTCTCGGCGCGAGAGACGATTCAAAAAATTAAGGAAAGTCCTTCCCGAGCGTTTTATTCGGCGTTTCAATTTATTTCGGTCCTCTTCAGGAACAATATATTAAGCCAGATGTTTGAGTAGTTAACGCGGGACATTTCAGAATGCTTAAGGAGCAAATGCGGGACATCCGGGACACCTTAAAAATATACTAACGCTGTTAACCGCGCAGAGCATACTCGAGGGAATAGTTTTGGTACAAATAAAATTGGAAACTTTAAGTGAAACTGGAAAATACAATTATTACATTAATCTTCATTTTTGACTACTTAAAGTATCAATTATTCTTCTCTGAAACAAATCAAACACGTAAGATAATATTTACCCCTTCAAGTATTTTCTTTCCTTGAAGAACTCATCCAATTAAAAGAAACCCTTTAATCTTATTATTATTATTATTATTATCTTTTTCTGTGCGTTAAGCGTACAACTCGTATCTCGAATCCGAAAGAAAAATGGCCGACAGAGGCCAGACACTAGTTTTCTTGCGTTTCCAAAGACGGCAAAGTCGAAGAGTCGGATTTTTGTTGGAGGATAGTTTCGAAGAAAATCGAAGACCACTTAGAAGATAGCTTTAATTTATATTGCGCGCAGCCACGACCGGGTGGAACGATAAAACATCTCGCTGAAGTTGGAAAGTTTCGCGTCAGCCCGGCAAGACGGACGCCGATGGAAGACCGATCGATTTCAGTCGCGATTCCAACCAGCCTGGGCAATTTATATCCGTTGGAGCATGTGCCACAGTACGGATTACCAACTTCTTCGAATTTCTTTCCGTGCCCGTCGACGCTCGGATCCTTTTTATCGAAGGGAACGCAGCCGAGCGCCAAGTCGGGAGTTCGTGAGCGCGAGCGCGCTATCAGCGCACCGAGTTTCGCGACCTTTAAAGACTAAAGTTCGCGGTATTCAGTCTAGACTAGATTTATGGACCTCTAGGAAAGTTCAATCGCCCGTGGCCTGCGAGCAGATCTCTCGTGCAGGTGTTTCGACATCGCACCGAGGAAGATCCACGTCTCGTAACTTCGACTTCTAACGAGAATGTCTTCGCAGAACTCGCGATCGCTCGATTCCCTCCGTACTTGTCACTTTTAATTGCCCCGACTGTTCGGGTACCGAGGTCTTCATTACCGTAGCAATCACGAAAGCTCATCGTCCTTCAACACTTCTCGATCAGGTTTTGCGTACCCAAAATTTTAGTACTAATAATTTGCGACTCGATAAATTTTTTTTAACTTTATCCACACTCTATTATAAATTATTAATAAACACGGGGACTAGATTCCATTGCGTAAAGGTGTTTTAGACGCGTGGAAAATCTGAGAAAAGAATTTGTCGAGGATGGTCAGGTATTCGAAATTGTCCCATTGCTCGAGACGAAGTAGTAAGAAAATCGAGGCAAGTCGACGCTTCCCAGTTGTCGAACCCACTGGAATCTCCTAGGTCAACAAACTCAGGCACCTCCCAACGCGTGAAAAGATCGTTTCCGTCTTGCTGAACATCTCCAGCTAATCGTCCCTCGACACCCTTCGGGGCGTGTGTGTTCTGGCGTCGAGCGCGTCCAAGCGAAGGTGCGAGAATATTCGCGGCTTAAAGGGGTGAAACGGCGTTCTTTGCGAATTTTTTGCGAGAAACGTAACGGGCACGAATAATTTGACGTTTCGACGTACGATTGTGGAATGTATTTACTACCCTTTGGCGTTTTTTAATGTTGAGAATACGAATACATTCTGCTTATTTATCAAATAGAAAAAGTTCAAATAGAGCTGCATTTGATAGGATCGAAGCTAAGTAATAAATATTCTAAACGCGATGCTTTCAAAATGGCGTCCGCTAACCCTCGAACTTGATCGCAGAAAATGATTATTCTTTACCCCCTCGAAGCAATAGGACCAACCATTCAGTAAATTAAATAAATCGATCACATCTATTCGAACAATCGAGCCCTCATTCGTTTCGAAATATTTCAATGACCTAAAATTGACGGGTGGAGAATTTTTGGAATATTTAATGGAAAAGAGCCCGACTACCCCGTTAATTCGCCGCGTGGCGGGAAGCGAAAGTGCACGGCAAACGACAGTGCAAGTTTCCAACGATAGCGAAAGCTCCGGCTGCCACAGCTGTAGTAAAGCTATTAGAGAGAGTTTTGCGGGCGGCAGTCGCGCGAGGGGTTTGTGGTTGGTTGGAAAAGCGTCCGTGAGATAGCAAGAGCTGTTGCTCTCTATGTACCGGCCATTATGTACATTCACCAGCCGTGCAAAAGCCGTTGGTCGTGTGGGTGTGGGTGCATTCAAGTGACGGGAACGCGTGTGCAGATCTACGTGTTACACAGCTCCGAGTTCAGCTTGCGCGTGCTACGTGCGCCACGAACAGGGTAGAAAGAGAAGGTTAGGGGTTGGGGGTGGGGGGTGGCTAAATGGCGGTCGATATCTCACGGAGGACCAACATCGCTTCGGTTTTCGATGATGGCTCGGAACCTCTTCCGAGCAGCGCTCGTCGAATCGAGCAATTGAATGGGATTTTGGGGGTGATTAAACGCCGAGGGTGTAGGAGGTCAATCGTCGATCGCGGGGGCGAGATAAATGTTCCTTAGGAGCGTGATAGTTTTTTTGAAATTGTACCGAGATTTAAGCTGTGTGGTTCTTGCACTTAAAGGATTAGAGGGTTGGTCTAGAGTTAGAAATAGAATGTTTCAATCTTAGAAAGTTCTAAGCATATCTATAACAAAAGACATTATATTCTAAACATCGGTAAAGTACAGTTTTCATAACTATCGTGACAGTACCTTTTTACAGACGTTCTGATTATGCCAAGTAGGTTTCCAACCCCCAACTTTAAAGGGTAACTTCGCCCTCTTAAACATGAATTTCTACTCGTTGAAAAAGTTTACCCGCGCAAAAAGAATAATTGGAAGATAAAAGACTTCGTGTATTATGTTAATGCATACAGACACACAGAATACGTACGAGGACATAAATGGAGGTACAAGCGCCGTAGTTGGAGGACTTATGTGTTATTATTGTACATCGTAGAGTTAATGGCTGCAACACGAGTCGGGATAGTCAGCTGTTGGTATCTTATCGGGCTCTGGTGAAGGGAAAGTTCTCTTCTTAATAAAGTATAGCGACCATACTCGATGCAAATCACCATTGTAACAGCTTTCGATCATAAATATAACTTACACGCTATATTGCCTCTACCAGGATACTCTAGAATCAAAGGTGCAGGCTTGACTAGCCAGGTCGTAACCACATAAAAGAGAGAAAAGTATTTTAATAATAATATTTCTGAAAATTTCCGACGACTCCACAGGTGTCACTCGGAAAGTTTCTCCGCGGTACAGTTGTCTGTTAAAATTCATCGAAGCCCTTCAAGGTGCGGTCAAGCATCGATGATTCATTAGTATCTAGTTCAACGAGTTTTATAATAATTCAACGCGATAATAAATACGCGATCGTAGACGATACAGATACATTCGACATTTTGCAATCTGTTATAAGAGAAAATATATTTCGTAATATTATATGAGGTCACGTCGTCTGGCTAGAGAAACAATTGGAGAGGCAAAGGTGACTAAACGGGAGACGCGAAGAGCTCGTAGCCATCGTCAGCGGCTCTAAGCAGCGTGAATGAACCGTCCAGGGACTAGGGCACAACATTCGCGGGTATCAAAGCGAGCGAGTAGGTGTGCAGACACGCCGAACGTAATAGTAACCTTGGCTTAGCGATGGTCACGTTATGGTAACGTCTATGACACGTTCCCACGTAGTCGCGTGTCACGTTCTCGCTCACGATCGCCTCACGTGACCACGGGGAACGAAACGGGCTCGATAAATAAGCCCCGGACTTATGCTTCTCTTTTTTTTTCTCTCGAAATGCTTTCTTTTCTCCCCCTTGAATCCCTCGACGATCCATAGCACTCTTCCGTGGCGCTCCGAAAACAAATATCAGGAATCTTACTTCGTGCATATTTACGTACGATTATGTATTATTTCAAATCTGTATAATTTCGGAGCTTTCTTTTTAAGGAAAGCTTTAATAAATAAATTTTCTTTAGGCGCCAATTTAAGAGAGAATGCATGAGAGAGGAGAGTGTGAAACGCGAAGCGCGATAAATTTCTCTCGCGAACCAGTACGCGAATTCCGTATGTCTAACGGTCGAAAACGTTTTCTGTTTCAGATCGTACAAATCAACCGCCTTCTAACAAGCCACATTAACCTCAAGTGATTTCTATTTTCTTACGAACGCGCGAAAGAAGTAATTAGTGTGTTTATATCGACGTAAAGGGGAAGGAAAACAAAACGAGAAAAATATTCCAAGAGCTTAGGTTCAAGAAGAAGAAGCCGAAGAAGAAGAAGAAGAAGCAGAAGACAAAGGATTAAGAGCTATAGTATCTAATTTAGTGTACAAAGTATATCTGAAGTAAATAACAAAAAGTAAACAAAAAAAAAAGTCCGCCAGTGCCAAATCGAAAGACGAAAGGGAAACAAGTACGTTAAGCGAGCAAAAAAAAAAAAGAGGAAAAGGAAGACAAACGAACAAAACAAGCAAAAACAGATAAACGCTGAAACGAAACGAAAGATAGTATAAAAAAAAAAACTGCGCGAAAAGGGGGAAAACCGTAAACCAAAGAATCTACCATTTCATTTTTCTACTAATCACTCAGCAAGTAACGATACTCACTAACCAGCGAGGAGCGCGCGTAGCGACGACGCGCCGCCGATCTCTTCGCGAGCAGAATATAAATTAAGAGCAAACCGACCGACAAAGTTTTTCTAAGCTATATAGAAGTTTTACGTAATTAAGCAGTAAGTAAGGGTTAACGATTTTAGGAAAAGGCAAAAAAAGGAACAAAAAAAAAAAAGAAAATAAAGAAAACGGACGCACCCACTGAGAGCGAGTGTCTATCGAGAAGAAGGAGTGTCCCATCCAAAGCGAAGAGCAGACGGAGAGAACGCAGGCCGCCCTTTATATCCAGAGACACACGGGGGACTCGCGCATAATTACTCCCAGTGAAACCGATCTACTTCAGTTCGTAGCCTAAACCTGTTGAGTACAAACGACAGACATAGAGTTATAGAGAAAGAGAGAAAGCGAGAGAGAGAGTGATAAAGGTAGGAAGAGCAGTTGCGAGAGAGTGTGAGCAAAAGTGACGACGAGCGAGAGAAGAGAGGAAGAGGGCGATCCTTTGGAGATTTCGATCCCGATCCAGCCAGATGTCAGGGTGCCGAGAACGGTCGATCCCGCGAACGAGCGTTCAGTCACGATCCTAGACGAGGGGAGGGTCGAGAGATCGTGTCCCCGCGGAAGAGAGGTCCTAGACAGCGAACGGAGACAACGAGGCAACCTAGAGGAACGGTAACGCGAACCTCCTGCGAGCAGGGGGCTCGAGTCGCGATGACGCGGCGGGGAAGATGAGCGCCGAGGTAACGAAGGAGGTCGGCGCCACCGAGAGGGTAGCAGGCAGCCCTCCGGCGGCGGTAGCGACCTCGCCGAGCTCGGTCGGTCCGGGTGATCCGGCGCGGCACCTGCCGCCGTTCAGCAGCTTCGCCGGGGACAACGCGATGGACAGCTCGACGACATTGACCACGCTTCATCCCCAGGACGTTGGACTGGGTCTTACGTCATCCTGGGACTACTACGAGGGACTGACCGGCCGACTGATCGACTCGAGGGGAGAGGTGGTGCTCGCCAGCCAATACAGGCCCTGGGAGTCGAAGAACGCCGCCGGCGGCGCTGGGCCCGGCGAGGGTCTGCCCAGCTTCGCCAGCCAATTCACCGCCCCCAGCGAAGCGGAGCCCCAATTGACGGCCCTGACGCCACTGTCCCCAGCCTCGATATCTCATTCGCCTCCCGTCACGTCCGCGGTCGGGCTGCCGAGCTTCCACACGCTCGGCACACCGTTGCCCGCTCCTCATCCGCACAGAGGCAGCGTCGGCTATCCCCTGGTGCCCGCGCCCGTCCAAGCCAGAGAGGTTCCCGCCCTTCAGCAGCAGCTACTAGACGAAAGGCACATACAATTGCTCGGATCCAGCCCCGTGCAGGCATTCCCGCCCCCGCCACCGGGACATCCCCATCACACCGTGCTCACGGTGGTGAAACCGGAGTACCCGCAGTTGCATCACACCAACTTCCAGAACCCGATGTCCACGGTCCTCGACTCCACGCCCACGTCCAGACCGATCGGCATCGACGGCCGCAAGAAGGAGCGCAGAAAAATACGCGCCGGCTCCATGGAGTCGGAGGACAGCGCCGGAGCCGGGAACGTCGAGAGTTCCGGCCAGGTGGCCGCGGTATCCTCCACCGCGAACCGCGGACCCCATCACCTCAGCGGAGGGATGACCGACCCTGACGGTGACGGCGGTCTCAGCGACAAACCGGCCAAGAAGAAGCGCAAGAGATGCGGCGAGTGCATCGGATGCCAGCGCAAGGACAATTGCGGGGACTGCGCGCCCTGCAGGAACGACAAGAGTCATCAGATCTGCAAGATGAGGCGGTGCGAGAAACTCACCGAAAAGAAGGTCAGTGTCTCTTCTTAGCTCTCTCTTCCAGGTGTCTTCGTCGGGTTATGACCATAGGGAGCCAGCCCTTTGTACATTATCGGGGTTGATGGAGAGAAAGAATCGTTGGGGTTGGGTAGGGAGACTATCGGAATATTCTTTCTCTGCCACGCGTTGTTTGAAACGGTTTCGATGTTTGGAATATTGTAATTTCGTTAAAGAGTGGTATCTTCTTGTCCTTGGGAGTGTATATCAATTTCGATTTCTCATCCCCCGAGCTGAAACAATTTGTAGGAACGCGTCGATTGGCAGCGGTCGTAGAACGGGCGGGAAAATAAATTCGCGGGGACGGATGGCGCGAGGCGACATCGGGTCGTCGTCGGTTTGGTCCAAATTCGCGAAAATCCAGGTGGTGGCGCGCAGTAGGGAAAGGGTGTGAATCGTAGACCGGTGGGGTAGAGGATAAACGCCGACACAGCCGCGTTATAGAATGGCGTGTGTGTATATAGTCTGAACTTGGCCCCGATGCCTGAATGTGCCGAGAATCCCAGAGGAAAATACAGAAATACAGATAACCGAGGTGGTTTATTATTGTAGCGACATTGAATAGGGGGTTGGTGGGTTGACTGGCTCGTTGGCTGGCTGGCTGTTCGGCTGCTCGCTCGCTTTTCCCAGCAATGGATTCGAACCGTACGCAAATGTCCGAACGAACAATTTTCAGTACCTCCTTTATTATTATTTTCCACAAAAACGGCGGTTAGAGGAGTGGGAAAATGTTTATAACGACTTTTTGATAGATTATCGCACGGTGCTTCAATAAGTTCAATGCGCATAATATATTAAATTTATAGTAACTGCTAAAGAATATAGATTGTCGTATCACTATGGAAGAAAGAAATATTTGTCGAGTTAGAAAATATTGAAAAATCTGAGACAGTTTGCCTCCGTTTGATCGAGAGGCGAGGGAATCGTGTATTAATGGATTATTTTTTAACGATCACACGATTCTTTGGAATCGAGCCAGCATATCCAAGCTAGGAAGAACATTGAATAACAAAGTTAAGAACAACCCGATACAGCGTGTATGTATCTCGTATAACCTCGATTAATACAGGTCATTGTTGTTGCTTTTGCTGAAGCTATTGTATGACGTAGTGTTATTGTAAGAATTATGAACAATAGACTGACAAGGAGAAAAGCAAACGAGCAAACGCCTCCGTACTTTGCAATTGTATGTTTTGGTTTGTGTGTATAGACTGATTCACCAAACAATCATAAAATTTGGGTGAAATTAACATTTTATACTTTCAATTTTTTCACGACTTTAAAAGAAATATCAAATTTTTTAACTCATGCCAATCTGTAATTCATAACTCGTACAGCAATACTACTTCAAAAGGAAACGAAAACGGTGACCTGTATTTTGTCAGTTAACAGCCTGAAAATTTGAAAGGTTTAAATATAGCGCCATGAAACATGGTAGCTGTTTGATCAACATTCTATCGTTAATTTTAATTGTACTTTGTTTAAACGTGAGAAGATCGAGCGCGAGTAGAACGAAGTCGATACGCGGAGCTCGTTTCGAAAAGTCGAAGCACGGGGTCGTTGTACCCAGACGCGAGTCAATTTAATGGCAAAGTCGCGAGAGGCAGCGAGCGTTTACTGTGCGCGCGCGCGCGTGTTAGGCGAGTGTGCAACGCTGTGCAACAAACAGCAGCGACTGGTAAGCAGCTTCTGCTTATCGTAGGGCAAGTTCAAGGCTCGTCGCGGGTCATAATAATCGCGTATCGAACTCCGGCCCGTTCGGAAACAAACGTGTTGTTTGCTGTGCGATACGGCCCAACACCTCACCCCGTCCACGCGATAAACGCTCGCGAGTCGGGCTATTAAAACGCACCGATTTGCGCCTTTTTTTTGCGTCTTGACGAGAAAATTGGAAATGGAGGGGGCAGAGATGGGCCAAATTCTTATCGAGATAAAAATGTCGAACGACGAACGAATGATAAGCGTTTCACACGATAACGCTCCGTAATCCAAATTATATTTGACTTCTGAACGAAATTGTGAAATAGGATCGTTTGATAGACCCCGATAATGGGATATAAATTGTAAAATAGTTCGTTACGATTTATATCGATAGACTACAGGCGCGGTCATTGTTTTGGATTTAATTTAAATCGTCAGATACTGTTTTAAAACAAAGGAAACTATGGAAAGGTCGACGTCGTATCGAATCGATCGAAATGAAATTGAAGAAAATACGAATGTCGAGGGCACGGCAATACCTGCTAGCCCCCTTCATATTTTTGATATCATAAACGAGACGGAAGGAAAGTGCTCAGGGAGATAACGAAAGAATTCTGATCGATGGTTCGACAGGGAATCGGACAACCGGTCGTCGAAACCGATAAGAACACATTTATCGGTCGTCTTGGGTCGCGTAGGCTGAACGTGCTTATTATATTGTCTGTAACAAACGACATCTGACCAAGTTACGTTACCAAATATTATGGGGACCAGGAAAAGCGATATTAAGAAAATTGTATTTATTCGAGTAATTAAAAAATCGGACAGTAACATTGTATCCATAATACTTTTCGCATCATTTCCCACCAGATCCAAATCTAATTTTTTCTTCGAGCTCTTTGAGATCTTTATATTGTATTCTAATGCCTTTTCCCAAGCTCTGTCGTACGATGGTAAATATCAAAATCGATTTGAAACGGACTCTCGGAGACTTTCGAGATAAATCTCGAGTAGATGTTGAAGATTTACGTAACTGGCGGAGTAGTTCTTGGCTTCTTAGCTTTATCGTGCCACTTTCCGAGCTGACCTTAAGTGAGTCACTGACAGCTATTGTCGTGACTTTCACGGACAGTCGTGCGTAGGCTGACCGCATCTCGTGATGAGCCGCGATTAAACGAGAAAATTGTTGTTCCGCTCGATGATAGCCTGTCGACTGAAAATAATATGCGATTCTCTCTCGAAGTCGATCGCTCGTTCGCGACCCTGCCACTATATCGGATCACCTTAACCGCCAGCTCCATTATGATCCTGACGAACGATTATGATAAAACCTCTGCTTTTTACGCCTTATTAAAACGGAGACGCGACGTCTGGCCTCGGGTGATCGTAATTACGACGGAATTGCCGTGCAACGGGAGCCCGCGACGACGTTTATCTTCCGTCGAGCGTGAAATAATTTTCTCCCTAAATAGTCTTAAAACAAATTCACTTCATTTTTTCTGTAATAAACTACGGGCTCCGGCTAAAGAAAATTTTCTTTGCACGGTGCTCGTAGCGAAAGCACGTGTACGCAAAATGAGTCTGAAACAGTAGGCGAGGTCGATGGTCGGTCGTAAAAAAATTAAAAGGAAAAACCTTTTCGTAGGCGACGCATCTCCAACGAGATTCCCTCGAGTGAAACATGTTCGCACTTCGGGAACCCGCAAGGAGGGTGGAAACGCGACGTTTAATAGAATTTTATGCTCGAACGAGTCGCCATAGGGTCTCGATTATTCTCGACAAGTACCGAAATCGTAATAAAAAGAAAAATTCGTTCCCCGGATCTCGTGGGGGAGGCTCGCGAAGGAATTCCGCGATTCACGGGTTCGCTGGTGGCGTTCCTCCCCAACGGAAATCGCGGCGCGAGGGACGCCACAAAGGGGAAAAAAACGGGACGAGAGACGCGAATGATAGATGCGGAACACCGGCACGAGTCGAAGACCGGCATATAGAGGCTAGCCGTCACAACAACCCGCACCCTTACAGATCTTAACACCCTCTTTATCCCGAGGGAAAGCCTCGCCCCTGCTGTCTTTCTGCTCGCGAAACAGGCGGCCACCCTTCGAGTTCATCGTACACCTGCCGTCGAGAGGTCGTCCGACGCGCGATGCCCCAATTTTTATCGTTTTCTGGCTGTTTTGACCCGGTTCCCGCGCATCGGGGGAAACCTTCCTCGCCCGTAGTGTCCTTCGGCATTCTTTCATCCCCGGGGCGCGTTTCCCAGGACGCCCGGGACCGTTCTCCACCCAAACGCTCGTCGTTCGATAAATACAGGGTGTTCCAATATCGACGGCACGACCGACATGGCATTCCACGTGGAGAAAGAGGTCGAACAAGTCCAATAAAATTTCTTCCTTCGAGCCTTCGTTTCTGAGATACGAGTGCCTGTTGTATGTCTGTCCACGAACTGCCTATTCCACTTGCGCTCAAGAATCTAAATACTCTGTTGCACTTAGAGTCGGGCAAATTTGATTCTTCAAAATTTCATATTCATTGGTCAACTAAGTTGCAAACTATATAATAGATATTTTAAATAATTCTAACATTTGTAATTGTTAATCCAATTCAATAAATTATCTCAAAGACGAGGTCTCGAACGACAAAACTTTGTTCTTCGTTTTTTCACGCAGAATCACACCCCCGCATTCTACCATCGATATTAGAGATCTTAACGTGTAATTCCTTCGATTTTATCAATGGTGAACAACGTCGAGAAAGATGGCGGAGGAGAGTACCAGCGTACCGCTAGGTTTCGCGAGTCGGGAGACGAAATCGTGATCGACGATTGGCATCGTTGCCCTCGCCCTCCGACATCGGTCGACCCTTCAAAACGTTTGACGCTTGGCAGGCTTCGGTGCAATTGGATCGATACGCGCACCGACTCCCCGGGGGAATCGTCCGTTCGCGCGAACCGGTTAATTGGCCGCGTCGTCGGTTCTTCGTGCCAAGGTTATGACGACGACGCAAACGTCGAGTTATCGTCGAAAGACGCGTCGACGCCCACGCGACCGCTTACGCAGTGTTACGTATTATGTTGTTACGGGACAGCGGCGATTCACACGTGCCTGTCATCAATTACGTAGTGAAATCGAGAAAGAGAAAAGATCCTCCGAGTCCTTTCGATACCGGTTTCTCGATACACGGGGTCGATTTACAAAAATTCTCGTTGCCCTAGGTCGGTGATTTCAACCGCTTAACAGACGAGTTTAATCGTCTCGACTGTATTTTTCTTAATG